ATTTAATCTGAATGAATAAAAATGCTTACTGAAATGTGTGCCATCTGTTGTGGCTGAATTTAAAGACACGTTTCAGTTTTTGTAACAGTGTACTTGCAACATTTTCTCTTCTTTGCAAAATCACCTCTTTCTGGTCTTTTCCTGGGTCCTTTGGAAATGCTTTGAGATGTATTCAGACCATCAGCTGCTTTTGTCTGGGGAAATCATGTCGTTGGTGTAGAGATCTAATTTCTTTCTTAGCTTGAGCAAGAGCTGCTTAATAGGAAACATTTTGGCTTCCCACACTTTAAAGCCATCGCTTCTACAGGGAATGTTATTTGACCATCTATTACCCAATTTCCCACAAAAGCTAGTTTTTGAAAAAGAAGGCCAAGCATGCTGATAGAACTCCTGCTAATGGAGCCACGTGGCAAAGTTAGGGGACTGAGAGGCAGAGTGGAAGACAGAGTGGAAATCTTAAAAACTACAATGTCTAGGTTGTGGCTGGGATAGGTAGGTGGCAAGAGCAAAGAGAAAAGTGGACGTTTGGTGGAATGAAGGAATCCCAGGGAGTAATGAGGATCTGAATGACTGGAGAAAGGCCAAAGGAAAAAAGAATCAATAGAGTAAATCAAGAGAAAGAAATTTAAACAGATAAAAGGTCAACAAAGGTAGAAAAATTACAAGAAAAGGCAAAGTGGAAGAGGAAGACAGAGGTGAAAGATTAAAAATGGCATAAAGAGCAGAAATAAAAGTGCATGAGTGAAGGAAAGAAATATCATTCCAGGAAGTTTCTGCCTCAACAGTCAATGACTCACTGCATCAAAGCCAAAATCCCAGCATAAAGCACACACTGATGGGCGTGGGGAGGAGAACCTCACTAAGGCTACCATGCTAGCTCACATCTTAAAGCCTCCACTTGAAAACAAAACAGGTCTGGTGCTGTGACTTACACCTGTAATTCCAGCACTTTGGGAGGCCAAGGTGGGAGGACTGCTTGAGCCCAGGTGTTTGAGACCAGCCTGAGCAACACAGAGAGACACCGACTCTAAAAAAAAAATATTAAAAAATTAGCAAGGCATGGTAGTGTGCACCTGTAGTCCCAGCTACTTGGAAGGCTGAGGTTGGAGGATTGCTTGAGCCTGGGGGCATCAAGGCTGCAGTGAGCTGTGGTCACGCCACTGCCCTCCAGTGTGGGCAACAGAGCAAGATCCTGTCTCAACAACAACAACAACAACAACAACAACAACAACAAAAACTATATGCTATGGATTCCTAGAAACTGAACTTTTGTTCCTGGAGTTTAATAAAAAGACACAAGATGGTCCATAAACATACTACAGTGGAAAGAAAATGGTCCTGGCACACAGGAGCCCTGATGCAGGCTGCCGGTCACCAGACCAGACAGGAGGTCACCAAAGGGCTTTTAGTTATCGAAGTTTTTCAACAAAGAAATCCAGAAATCCAATGCACAAAACAGATAGGGTGGAGCTGCACAATTTGGTTGCCAGGTAGGCAGCCTGCCTTTTAGTCACTGAGTCCCCCCTCTCTGCCCCGTTACCAGGACATCTCTGCAGAACTCCTCTGTGAGAGGACTCAGACTGTCCAGCCTCCGGGTAGGTAAGTTCTGCAGTCTTCTATTTTTTAATGAATTGCTTGCCTAAACTGAAAATCAGGATATTTTACCAAAAAAAAAAAAAAAGGTCAACTTTCTTTTGAATAATTGGAGCTGTGGGCTCTGCAGTCTTTTATTTTTTAATGAATTGCTTGCCTAACCTGAAAATCAGGATATTTCATTAAAAAAAAAAAAAGGGTCAACATTCTTTTGAATAATTGGAGCTGTGGGCTCCTGGAAACAGCAATTGATGAGAGCTGAAAACTAGTATTCTTCAATGGGTCATCTTCTTTTTGCCACAGTCCATGTGTGGCTAACGTCCTGAATTCTCATTACCCATCTGATTTTACAGCTACTCCTGCCTAGTGAGGTCCACTGTAAAATCCCTGGATATATATATGGCCTCTTAGGGATGTTCCAGCTCAAAACATTCTGCAGCTGTAGAACAATTATTCCTATATTAAATTAAATCTTTACTAAATTACAAATTCCTAATAAATTCCCATTTTAGTAAGAAGTCACTGTTTTAGTCATTCTGTTCTCAAGCTATAGCTCTTATATTTGCTTAGTCAGAAACCATGTTGGCAGTATAATAAAATGAATTAGAATGTGGTTGATTGTCTTCTGCTGGTAGTTCTCATCCCTGTCCCAGCCACCTCCTCCCTTGCCCCTGCCCGCCATCCACCCCCAGTACTGAGAGGTTGCTAAGAGCAAGAACCCCTTCCTCCTCCTCCTGAGAACCTCACAGCCCAGCTCCACCAGCAGGCACACGCTGATGTCTTCCTAGAAGCCTCCCTATCCTGGTTAATTTGTGTCAAATATCTTAGGTTTTTATGCTCCATTTACTCGGGTTAATCTGCAAATACTTACCTACTCTGTGAATGTTCTAGGATATATATTAGACACATCATCACTTGGGCCCTGGGGACAGATCCTTCATCCTATTGTTTAGTGGTTTCCTAATCACCAGGAGGAGCTAAAGAGTTATTTTCTAAGCTGCTATCTCAGACACCTTTTGCACTTCCTCTGATTTCCAAGTTAGATGGTAACAGTGAATGATGCACAAATATAATACATACACAATCTAAAATACTCCAAGTAATTCTAGGAGCATCCAATTTCAAAATTCAGCATAAAGAATACGTTTCCAGGTTGAGAGAATTCCTCCAGCATCACCGCCTGGGGTGGCTCCCGGCACCTTCTTTACCTATCTTGAAGGTCGAGTTGTCTTTAAAGGAAGACATTTACTACCCATTCTACAACGACTTTGAAATTCCATGAAATTATTCAAAATGCACAACAAGGTGAGGACACGTGAAGGGGAGGGTAGATTATGCAGGGCAGCCCTGGATTTCTAAACAATAGCTGCATTTCTGACCCTGAAAAGGCAACTGATTTATGGATATGATTTTGATTTCATCTCGGAGAGGTTTTGAAAGGTATAAATAGGCATTGTAAGGTTTTGGCAAAAAGGAAACTATCAGTACATTTGAAAAAAGTGGCCAGGCGCAGTAGCATGCGCCTGTAATCCCACTACCAGGGAGGCTGTGGCCGGAGGATCTTTCGAGCCCAGGAGTTCCAGGCCAACCTGGATAACATAGTAAGACCCCATCTTGAATTATTATATACGTATGAGAAAAGTGGAGATTATAAACTAAAATCAGGATTTGTTCTCATGAAGACAGTCAAGCTTGGAAAATGTGTAGTCGAGGGGATGTGGATCTTGCATTAGTCAGCACCGGGAAGATGGCTTCGGGGAACACGCTAAGCCCATATTGTACGTCTGAGTTTTCAGAGCCTTGTTAATAGAGCTGTATTACCAGATAAATTACGAACAAGAGTGCGTTCAAAACCACAACACTGCCCCGGGAGGCTTACCAAAAACCCAACTGACAGGTGATAAAAAATTTTTAAATATGACTCGGGTGCTTACGATATTAACTGTGCAAGAATGGGAAAGGTAGAAAAGACAATCTTGGCGAGTAGATCTGCTGCTCATGGCAGACACTAGGGATGGTACCTGGGTGTTCACTTTGCTCTTCTCTTTACTTTGGTTATTGCTTTTTAAAAACGAAAGGGGCAAAAAAGAAGTGGAAAGTCGTGGAGGCACTCGGCCCAGCCCCCACGTAGTTCAAGCAGAGCAGGAGGGAGCTGGCTGGTGGAGGTCCTGCCCACCTGCCACACTCCGTATTTGGGCAAGCCTGTGAGTCACTGTCGGTAACATGGCTCCCTTCGCTAAGGCCAGCACTGACCCACTATCCATGTATCGGTAAACGCAGGGAGTGTGCCACGTGCCTTGACAGCCCAGCGCGTAGACTTAAGAAGTCGCGGCTAGGTGCTCTTTTCCCCATTTTTTTACTTCTCTTCCGTAGCCCGGGAATTTGGGAGAGAAGACTATCGTATCCAGTTAGAGGCAGAAATGACACTAAGCAGCTAATCAGCTCAAGATCACAGAGGAGATCCCGCGCGGTCCTCTCAACCCCCAGCACCAAACGCCAGTGGGCGTCCCAGTGGGGCGCACCCGGAGCGCGGACCTTCACATCCTCCGAGGAACGCCGCACCCGCGTGGCGGGGGTGGGTAGATGGACCTCAGCGAGCCTCGTTTCCTAGTCGTGTTACGCAACAACTTTGCAGCCGTCATCTTCGCCCTAATTGTGCAGGGGGCGGTGTTTTGTGCGTGGAGCTTTCCCTCCCGGCTCCGGGCCGTCGCGGCTCTCCGGAGAGGCGCCGGGGCATTTTAATCGCTGCCTCCGCCGCGCAGCCCCGCGTAGCTGCCCGGCCGCGCCAACCCCTTCCCCACCGCAGCGCGCCCCGAGTGTTGGCAGCTTGCCAGCCGCCACCCCCCGCCTTCCCTCCTGCCCACCCCAAGGTAGGGCTCCTCTCGGGAGTGTGCCGGGAAGGGGAGGCCGAGGTCCCTGCCACGCCCGGGTAGCCGTAGCCCGCAGTGCTCGGTCGGCAACAGGTAGCCCGGCCGGCTGCGGCTCTCAGGAAGACAAAAAGCGCCTCTGCGAGCGAGTGAGGGTCGCGGGGTGCGCAGAGCCACCGCAGCGACCGGGAGGGTGAAGGAAGCCAAGAGCGGACGGGGCGGTGGGACTGGGGGCTCCCGGGTTCCTCCGCAGGCTCGCTCCGGTCGTGTCGGCCGCGCGGGCCGTTGCGCAACCCTCGTTACGCCGGGCATGGGGCGCCAGCCCTCGCGGGCGCTCGGACGGCGGTGGCCCTGGCCGGGGAGGGACGCAAGCTGGTAGTGGCGCCGCCGCGGAGGGGGAGCTGAGGGCGGGGAGGCGGGGCGTGGCCGCGGAGAGCCCGCCCCGGCCGCCCTGCGGGCCGCGGCCATTGGCGGCGGGCCGGGGGCGGGTGCAGGCGCGGCGATTGGGCCGGCGGCCGCCAGTCACGCGGGGCTGGCGGGCGGCGACGTAGCGCGGCGCTCGGAACTGACCTACTACACATGCACCATCTCTCGCTCGGCCCACGGCGCCCGCCAGCGACCGCCGGCGCGCCCCGACCGCCTCCCGCGCGCGCCCTCGCCGCCCCCGCCTCCGCGCCCGAGGCCCGGCCGGCCCGAGCCCCCGAGCGCCGCGCCGACTGGCGGCCGCCCCTTTCTTTCTCCTCGCCGGCCCGAGAGCAGGAACACGGTAAGCGCTCCGCCCACCGCCGGCCGGGGGCCCGGCGACTGCTCCCCGGGCGCGCTGCGGGAGGGCGGGCGCGGGGTGCTGGCCGCGCAGTGTGCGGGGTCGGGCTGTAAGCTGGGCTCGCCAGCAGCGGCGAGTGCGCGCCGGGCATTCATTACATAAACTTTTGCTGCCTTGTCAGGATGGGACTCGCCACCTTAAGGTGGCTGCTTTGATTGCAGCGCCTTCGCGCCGGCACGTAGTCCTGGCTGGTTTGCGCTCTCCCCCCGCTGCTGTTGCATAATGTCTCCTGATTTCAGGAAAATTGATGTTTTGGTAGAGAAGAGCGCCAGGCAGGCTGAGCCCTCTCCGAGCGGGAAGATGCTCTTTCCTCTCTAGTGTCTTCCTTTCTCGTTCCTTCTCTGGGGCTGGCGACGTAGAGGGGAGAGGAATTGGGGGTTGAGGAATGGGGAATAGTCTTGATTTGCTTGGTGAGAAAACGGGTTGGTAGCGTGAACGGTGACGGCATTCGGAGAATGCCTGCGCGGCGTTTGTTTGTGTCAGGGGCTGTGCCTGCACAGACGTTTTCCACCCTGTTTGTCGTCAGCGTGTTTTACAAGCCCTCGGGAAGGTTGTGGGATTTGTCCTTTCATACATTGCATAATCTGCCCACGGTGAAATGTTGGCAAGGATTGCGGGCTGATGTGGGAATATGCGCGTATGTGTGCAATGATTTGGTAATTGAGGCGCAGCGTTGGATATTAGATCGTTATTTACGTGTATATTACGTCCCAAATAAACAGGTTTTAAAACGATACTACGAAACCTAAAAGCAAGAATTGCTCGGGTTGAATTCTGATCTTGGGTACTACTGGGGTTCGCCCTTTCAATGTTCTCAGCTGTTATTTTTAAATCTGGGACGAACCATTGTGACGTTTACCTCCCCACCTTCCTAATTTTAATGCATTCCATTCGATCAGCCCTTTTTCTCACCTTATTGTCATCGCTTTTTCAGACACGACAAGACAAATCACATAATAGTTTCCTGGAAATGTTGCATTATGTAACTGCCGAATTTGCTGGCAGTGAGCATAGAGAGGGAGCTAATTACGTGATTTTATAATCTTGCTACAAAGAAAGTAGGACAGTCTCAGCCTTTAAGAATGTCACTATAACAGTTTTTTTTTTTTTTTCTTAAGGATATTTTAAACAGGAAAGTAGACAACCGGGTAAGCATGGAGTTTGCTCATGCTGCCGAATGTGTGTCTTTTGCCCTAAATGAAACGCGCGTTCTTCTAAATTTAGCCCTATCACATTTTAACAATTGTGGCCTCGCAGTGCTATTTCTGGTGTTTTCTCTAGGGCTGTGTGCAAATACAAGTTCAAGGCCATTTGCTGTAGTTTTAACTACACGCCTTCGGAGACCTTTGATAAGATTGTATTTTTAGGAAGGCATTTCGCAGCGCCCGGTGATTTGCTGGATGCTGGCTCCCATTTATGTTTTTAAAGGACACTTTAGGAAACTGCTGTTCTCTGAGAACAGCGGGGAATGGTCAAGTGCCATCTTCTGTTCTTGGCTTTTGTAAATAACAACAGTAAGTGAGGTCAGAAGTATTTATTTACCCCCAGATCAGATATGACCAATGGGAAACAGATATAGGTTAGTAGATCGTATTTTTGTCTGGATACCCTAGTTTTACTCATGTGAAGATGTATGAATATGTAATTTATCCAAATATTTAATTTCTTCCTGGATTGTTACATAGTGATTATGTGTGAATATATGTATATGATGGGATGTATATATCGTAACATTTAAATTAAGCGCAGGGTTTTTTTTTGGTGGGGGGGGTGGACGTCTCTGGAACAGAGTATATTACCCCAAATAATTGCAGTCGCTTTCTAAGAAGCTAGTTGCTCTAGGCCCCCAGCTTCAGACCCCGACCTACTTTGCGAGCTCGCGGGGGAGTCCCGGGCCTGTAGGGGCAGCGTGGCGCCACCTTCCGATCGGGATCTCCTATGGCGCGTCCGTGCGGCCCCCAGTGCGCCGCTCCCTCCTGCGGGCCGGTGGGGTCTGCGAGAAGCCGGGGCTGGGGGCGGGTCTGGTAGTGGCGGGCGGGGACCTCGGGTCGGGACCGAGAAGCGCCTCCGGGCGGCAGTTATACTGGGGCTGCTCGGTGGCCTGCGCTCCTCCCTGCCCCCTCCCCACATTCCTTTGTTCTGGCGCGGGGGGTCCTCGCGGCGCCGAGGCCCCGCTGCGCCGCCCACCCGGAGGGAGGGGGGTCTCTGGGAGGCGCCGCGTGGGGGCGCGGCCGGTGGAGCTCGGGCCCTAGGGACCGGCCCGGGTCGGAGTGCGGGTGCGCTCTGGGTTCGCCCGGGCCGCAGGAGCCGGGGAGCCGGGGAGCCAGGGACCCCGGCGCCCGCACGGGGCAAACAGGGGCAGCGCGGGCGACCCGGAGTGCCTGCGTCTCGGCGGCCCTCCCTCCAACAGGGCAAATCCAGGGGCCTGACTCCGCGCCTGTTCTGCGGTGAGGTTCTGAAACCTGCAGACACCTTTGTTCCAAGAGTCTTCATTGTATTTCTGAGCGAAGCGCGTCTCCATTCTTGAAGTGAAAAAGACCGTAAGAGAACCTCCAAACGTCCACCGACCACAGAAATTGGGGGTGGGGGCGCTCCAGTATTGATAGTGATTAAAAAGGAAGGCCTCAGCTTGACTTTGGCCAGTTGAGTTGAGCCGATTTTTTTTTTAACCTTTAATTTATATGGTCAAAGGCTAGAGAGAACACTGATCTCCAGAGTTCAAAATAAAATCAAAATACCCACATAGACGCTGCTGTCCTACTGTAAAACTACAGTACTTTCATCCTGGCATAAAGACTTCCGAGGTTGTACCCATGCGGGAACTCACAGGGAGTTCATGGAGACATCACAGATGTTCTCCTGAAGCATATCAACGCAATGTGCTCTTTGTTGAAAACTGACCAAAAACTTGGCTTCTGTGGGATCATATGCTACACCCCTATCCCTAATCAGTTTCCCTCTTGTTACAGGCAGTAGTTAGAGAACAGGCATCGGTGAGGTACAGATCCTAAGGGCACAGGCCCTGGGCTCACAAGAACCCTGGGTCCCAGGCCCCAGCTTGTTATCTTCCTCCACTGTCCTGATTTCCATCACTCTTCAGGGTAAACTGAGGGAATAAAACCTGTTGACCTAGTTGGTTGTGAGTTCAATAAATGTTTCCTGTATTATTGACCAGCAGCCAGAATCTGTGTGTGTGTGTGTGTCAGTCAGTATTTACCTTCATTTTTCTCTTTGTAAATCTCTTTGCAGTAATAGTAAGGATTCATGTTGGAATTAAGTCTATAAGATCTTTCTTGGATACTTTTTTTGTTCTAATAATTTTTTTTTTTTCCTGAAAACTTTGCCATTGTGTTCAATGTTAATTTCAGTTTAAGGGGAATTCCTGACAGGATTGCAGAACCTCAAACTTCCCAAGTCATTGGGTTAATGTTTTGGGGAGCTGCTTGAAGGAATAGAGAGATGAGTCGATTATAGTAGCAGGAATGAAGTGACAAGTGCTGTATTAATAGCTCAGCTCTTTCCAATTCCCTTACACATTCTGTGACTCATTTTCTGTAGCCTGGGTGATTTCTCTATCTAAAACTTTGTGGTCTGAGATCAGCAGTGGATGGTGAGACACCACAGATCAGCTCTCTTGTAGGGGGTATATGTAGCCTGAAAACTAAGGCCGGTCCTGTGAAAGTGTTTATATTTGACCCTTTTGACTAACAGAAGAAATTTTCATTTGGTTTACCCTTACTCTTGCGACATAGGTCAGGCTTCAGTAAGAGTCATGAGCAGAGAAGACAGCCTGGAACTGATAGGCATCGTTGCCTTTTGATACTGATCATTCTTCAGAAAAGAGATTAAGAGTTAGTATTTACTAAACTTACACTCTGCATGTGCCAGGCACAGTGTTGAGGGGCTCTGTTATCATCCACATTTCATAGATGAGGAAATGGAAACTCGGAGAAATGAATTAGCAGCCCAGGTCGCAGAGCCTGAAAACCAGATGGGGAAATTTGCACCTCGACAAAGTGTATTCTCACACTCACTGTAGTTTTTGAAACAATTTCCTTTTCTGGGTTAAAGGCTTATTTTTGTGCAGTGCAGTTATAACATCACTGTGATGCAACAGCCTGAAAATTAAAACTCTTTGTGAGAGGCCTTTCGGACGTTGAGCAATGTGCCTGACTCACCAGCTGAGTGGATTTTTCTAGTTGACCTTGCCTTGGTCATTAGAGTCAATTTCGAGATGTAAATGCGATTGCAGCATGGAATGGAAAAGGTGCAGTCATATTGCCTGGGCTTTATTTTTACCCAGGTTAAACTCGTATACTTCATGATTTCCATTGTAATCCAGATGCCATTGATGCTGTTAAAGTTGTTTATTTTTAATTTGTATTGAGGAATGAGAGCACACTTGGGATTCAATTCAAAATATAACAGAAACAATGTAATTGAAATTTCCTTTAATATTCATTTCTTGTTTTTGTAAGGTATGCCTGTATTTCACAGGGTTTAACACATTGTTTGATATCCTGTTATTTTTCTAAATTATATTTGAGTTGATTTCTATCCAGGTTGGACTTGTATGAGAATGTTGAAAGACGTTGACCTTTGATCACAGACATTACATAAGAATTTTTCAGTTTCAAAATGAATTTTTATTACTACTACCCCCAGTTATCTTTCACATTTCTTTGTAAGTAACTTTACTGTAGTTAAAAAAAAACACCCAGAACTGTTTCTCGTATGGCTTTACTAAGAGAGCATAGCTTGTTTTTATGATAAGAAAGTTTACTTGAGATTTGCTAGATGCCATTTGTTAATAATCTGTGCTTTGAGGACTCAGTTTCATAGGACTCAGAGTGATGTTTATAAGCCTTTTAGTTATCAGAACATGATGTCTTTTACTAATTAGCTTTTTAGGAGTCTTAAACTGTAATTAACTGGCCTTCAGA